CACTGACACCCTGATGTGAGCCTGCAAGTTGACTTGCAGTTGGGGGAGAAGCAGTCGCAGTCAAAGACGAGGAGGGTACTCCTTGAGGAATGCAAGAATCGGCCTCACACTCTGCCTCATCGATTAGTAGGCAGTCTGCTGCGTGTGCTTTTCGCGATACAGACTACCCTGCAGCGAGCCAGGTGGGAGATTGTGGTGTGGGTTGGTGCAGTGAAACAGCCTCGGTAGTTTGCACGAAATGGTTGAGGAGGAGGAGGAGGAGGATGTACTTGGTCTTTCGATATGAATAGGTTTAAATATTGTCGAACCTATTTGTTCGTGGTTTTCGACCCTTGTGTTCAGTTGCATTAGGAAATTCTGTCACTGAAGTTGATGCCAACCTTGCTCGCCGATTTTTTTTCCTTGGTCGTAAAAGGATGTTTCTTGGATTTTTTAGGAAGGAGCAAGTGAGCCCCGATGATGAAGTGAAGCTCCATCCAGAGAGTCGCATTCTTCTCCCCAGTCCAGTTTCAGAACCAACTGTCGTGAAATGCCTTCCAGTAACAACCGCGAGCCTTCCCTCTCCACTTCAGTCGCCGCCTCCCGAAATAAAGCCTGAAGACGACTCCAAAGCTTCCCTCGTCAACGGTGAACCCGAGTCAACATTCAAATTGCCCATCGCCTTATCGGAACCCTCCACTGCTTCGCCAACACCCGTGAAGCAAAGCACCAAGGCTGCCTCTCGTTCTAGACGCCACTCTGCCTCTAAACAGGAGGAGGCGGAGACACAGCACAGCTGTTCGTCCTCCTCGACTTCTCGCCAACAGGCCAGTGGCAGTCAAACCCCCAATGTTGAACACTGTCCGGAGACTCCCTTCAAGAATTCCAGGTCTAGACGTTCTGCGATTTCCTTGAGCTCGGAAGAAATTGGCGATAACAGGCCCATCCAGGCACCTCGATCGTCAACCAGCCAAAACCAAAAGGTCGATGCAGAGCCACAGCGCAAAATGAAGAAGGACGAAGATGAGGGGGCTGTGAAGCCCCAGCGTGTGCGTCTACCTAAAAAGTTAGCTATCGATGCTATTTCAAGAAGACCCAAACGCGGACAATCCTCGGAAGCATCGACTCCCAATAAACGGCGTCGTTCACAAAATAAAATCGACCCAGATTCTCACCTCTCCTCCTTCAAACGTGGTCGCTCTTCTAAATCGCCGCATCAGCCCACATCATTGAGGCGAAGTCGCTCGCAGAAGTCGTTGACAGACGTTGGCGTGGATAAAAAGAATCAGAGTCGACCGGAGAAGCAAAACCACGAAAAAACCGTGTTGCCGGGACCAGCTTTGAAGTCCAAAGGCCGACAGACAGGAGTCTCTCCAGCGTTGAGCCAACGTCGTCGTCGTCCATCCACAACCGCCGCGGAGCCTCCGAAGAAGCGTACTCGGGCGTCGACGACACTCGCACTGTCGCGGTCCTCGAATAGGCGTCGATGATTTGCTTGGCGACGATTGTAGCTATGTAGTTATGGGAGCCTGTGTCGTTGTACTTCTGATTTGCTGTGTACTTAATGCAATTCTTCCCATCTATATTCACTGAAAATGAGCATGGCGCGCGTTTTTTTAAACACTTCATTTGCTTACCACGTATGTAAAAACTGAGATTGGATAAATCGCTTTTGTTTTTCGTGAATTTATTCCCCTATTTTTTACTGGAATGGCTCTGCTCCTGCATAATTTCCCTTAAATGTCTTGCCCGGTCACTGTTAAGTGTTCCAAAATGCAGCATCAAGGCTTTTGTTAATAAAGCTGAAGAGTTGTGTGCTAATTGTCAGCCTTGGTTCGTTAAAATCACAATAGACAGAGCCGTCAGCATGATCGGTCTCCCTGGAAATTGTCGTAGACGAGTTAGCTGTCGACCGTGTTGAGGATTGGGGTCGTTCGCTTTTGTAAAAGTCCCGAGCCTTCATTCAACGCTCCTTGTTATTTGTTTTGCGGATTGCGTTGGCTCGGTTCACAAAAATTCGGCTTTTTTGGAAATACAGTTAGATTTTCCTCGAGCTTAGCTTTAAAAAATTCCCGCGGAACGGGACATTTTCTAGTGTCAACTGATGAGATTGGATTTCTGCCTTAGCCCACACAAACTGGTTACTTCGATATATTGCGAGTGTTTCTATTTCTGTTTGTTTTTTTTTGAGGTTACTACTCAACAACAAAAGTAATTTCTGTCGAGGAAGTTTCAAAGTCTGACTGGGAGTTGCCACTTGTTAATTGTCCAGACCGCGCGTCGACTTATTTCACGGAAGGGATCATGCGGCCGACATCGTTCCACATTGCCCTACTCTTAACCTGTGTCCATAAAAGGCCGGTTGAAGATGCATTTGCTCCTAGAAACGAGGGATTGTAGGGACCTGGCCAGGCCTTAGGCTAGCGACATGGGCGTCAATTTGCTGATGGTGGTTTCGTTCAAATCTCAGTCACTTCGATCCGATTACGCTAACACAGGTGAAGTAACATTCACGGATGTTCTGACCAGCCAGTTCGCCAAACATTTGGGTTCACCCTTCAGGAGCAAAATCATTTTAACCACTTTTGCTGGAAAGGTCGAATAGTTTAGCAACGGAAGGTCATTAGTGGAGAGTTATTAGTTCATCTACCACGAACCGCCGCACTCAGGTGTGATAGATGTGTTCAGAGGCCAGAAGTCAACCCTGCTATGACACTAATGCCTTTGTGAATGCAAAACCGATGACCGAACCACTGAAGTGATTAGGTAAATGCCTGGACGATTGCGTTTTCGTAGCGAAATAATTTGCCGTGGATGTCATCAGTGGTAGTAAAATCGAATCGATCCATTGTCCATCCGGACGTGGATTAAGGGGTTGTGCGTTAATTTCAAACGAATATAAACGTAAATTGGGTCAAAACCGAGGCAGAACTTTCAGGATACTAGCAGTTTTTTTACACCAATCGTCGATTCGTGGTTAAAATGCGTGTCCGCCTGAAGTGGACAATGTCTGATTAGTGTGTCTACCGGGTGTGGTGCTGAGATCTATTAACTTGGCCAACCGAAAAATGCAGCTTCACATCAAGGATCCCCCTCAGTATAGTTTAATTTGTCTCCACCTTCCAGGTAAGCGATCATTACCCTTTTTTCCTGGCCCTACAAACTGCATAGATCCACTCTTGTTAACCCCGATGCATTTGGTGTTGTGGTTCGTGATGTGTCGGTTGTTACTTTTCGCCCGGCTGGGAAAGGCGAAGAAACAAAGTTATTGTTTCCCAAAGAGATCTCCGAAAGGATTTGATGCCACCATTTAGCTCGTGCCTGCGTGTTTGTTGGATGGAGAACCAGTTGAGTGCCTACAACCGCTTGAGTAAGGACACGCGCAACGCCTCACATGTAGACGGCGTGAGTGACGTGATTTAACACTGACAAACGTCAACATTTGGATGACACGGTGGAACGTGACAATGTTCGCAAATCCGTTTTAGCGTTGCCAAGCCAATCATGGCTAGAGTGATTTTGAGGACCACAGAACTTGGGCGCGATCCAGTGGAAAATCAAACCTTAACTGCGCTAGTTCGACGTCTTAGGCCCACAGTTGCCATGGGTTTTCAGCCGATTAGTAAGCATGCTGGGGGGTTACAACAGTTCACAGGCGCGAATGGGAGCAGCGCTTCCCTCCACTGGGGTGCTGTGAGTGCTTTTTGTCCCAAAAACGCCTCGCTGAGTGACAATGAATAATTTCGGTAGCCATGGTGACGCGTGTAAGTTAATTCGACTGCGCCTCACAAAATTTATTGCTCTCATTCCGGTCTTCCTCCGACACCCACTGGGGGCTGTTGCACTACAATTCAGCAATGACACACCCCATCGACTTGACTTAGTACCTCATGGGGAATTCGCTAATTAGACGTGAGGTAGTTGAAATGGGCTGAAGTTGTGAAAAGCCACGCTGTATACACAAGCAGGCAAATTCGCCTTCCTAGTGGGACTTGTGTTCCCCGGTTCGGGTGAGTAAGAAATCAGACAAAAAGCATTCATCCATTTTCCACGCTAGGCAAACAAACGGGCATTTAAGGTCTTATTACTAGACCGATTCTTTCTGTTACGTTTTGTCTGTAATCCCAACCAGTGCCCTAGATCCCTTGTCTGACGCTGGACCACATTTTCCCAAGACGAGACCTCGTGCAGAGCGCTTTGCGGTCCCAGTCGAAGGCCAGAATGTGCCTGTTTGTGTGAGTCGATGGTGACCTTGACCCGGTAGCTCACGTCCGATTAACACAGATGGGGCTGTCAGTGACTTGCCACGGCTGACTGACTCACTTGAGTGGCGTGTTTAGGGAGTTGTGTAAACAATTGCGAAATCCGTCATGGTTTGAAACATCAGTTATGGCACGCTGTACCCACAGGAATAAATTTAGATGTAAGTTAAAACTTACTTCAGACTCCGATAAGGCAACCCAACTGGATTAAACAACAAAGTAAATAAATGAGCATCTGTAAAATAATATTTAAAGGTAGTTGGGAACTTCACTGAGAGCAAGTTTATTTTCAACTTGCCACTACTCATTGAAAAATCCCCTGAAGAAATTCAGCCATTGCGTGTTCATTTCAGGTGGCGTCAAGGTAACATTTCACAGTGCCTCCTTGTATTGTGAAAATCATAAAATAAAAGTTGGTTTCTACTAGGGGCACCCTTTTCAACGAAAACTCGACTCGTAAAGTAGCCTTGAGGTGCCAGCGGTCAGGGACGCTCAACCAACCTTCAGAGTTCTCTCGTTACGCCAACCTTTTCATTAATACGCTAATCTGCCTAACTGTTTTTTTACGGCCGCTAGTTTGACCTGATTGCTTAACTCGCCAACAAAGCGCGCCGACTTCACTAATTAAACTTTCCCGTGTGCTCAATTAGCAGTCAGTTTGCTTCCAGAAATAAACAAGAGGATGCCAGTTTCTGCTTTGTGAGACGCTTTATAATCCAAAGTTGGTATATTTACTCTGAAGAATGACCCTATCGACGGGACTGTGTCGAATTGAACAGCAACAAAGAAGGCGATAGTATTAGCTAAAGCAACCGAGCTCAGACGTAGTAATTGTGGAAAACCACTTCCTGGCCTAATACAGTAGAGCAAATGCTTTTGAAGTGAAGCCTTCCAAAAAGAATTGGCTTTATACCAATCCCACATAACTCATCACAAATGAATACCACAATTTTGATATGTTGGAAAAACTCCAAAACCTGGGGATTTAACTATATGTACATATCGCCTATTCTGTTATGCTTCTTCTTGAATTTGTTGGCTTATTTACACTCACGATTTCAATGCCTGCAAAATTTTCGATTAGGACTGAGTTGAAGTGTCAAGTCATACTTTGTGCGGAGTTCGCCCGCGTTTTATGACATTCCCAACTCAAACAACACCCATTTTCAGCTGTCTAGACAACTCCGCTTTCGCAGTCTATGGAGTTGGAGACATAAATGCAGCCCATAAACGTGACCATTTCGCACCTTTCAAGTAACTGCGCGGTCAAGAAATATAGTGAGTGGAAAACCAAGTAGCTGATTAGTCTTGGAGACTCACATTTCCCGCTAAAAATAATTGCATGAAATCGAACTACACCCAGCCATTGTAAGTCAAACTAATTTTAAGAAAAATTCTTCGTCGGCATTTGCCGAAAGATTTGTGCCAATAAAGCATTACTTTCGGTCTACTCTAAGGCAGATTGCAACCTCTAACTGAAGCAGATTCAACCCGTGAGTCGTCACTAGAATAGGCAAGGAGAGCAATTGAAAATGATGGATGATTCCGGAAATAAACTCGGATAATGCCAGAGACGCAGTCAACTTACAGTTGTAGGCTTCAAATGCAAAAGAGCGATGATAAGTGGAAAATGAACCCATAAAAGATTCGAAAAACCACGAGCAGTCCTCACTTGGATAGAGAGAATTAAGAATAGTAATGCCATTAAAGGTTTGTTTAGTTTTTTTATGGTAACTAGAATGAGTTGTGATTCGCCCAAAAAGATTTTAACAAGCTTCGTTTAATATCAATCATGCACTATGGTGGGTGTACAAGCCCCTATTAGCCAATTGGAAAGTAGATAAAGTGACCGAGTTAAGTCAATTGCTGCTGGGTCTACGCAACATTAAGATTAACCTCTACAGCGGATTCGTCACTGTTGATTCTACGAGTCTGGCGAGAGATGCCTTCTCGTCAGTCTGCTTGTCGTTTACGTGAAGGCGGCAAATGGCGTTCAGTTTCATTGTGACACAGTGGCGAGTCAACTAAATTCACCGCTTTCAGTTTTGTCCTTGACCTCAGTAAGCTGATTTTGGCGAAACATCTGAGTAAGATAAATAGCGTACCAATCACTGACATGATCTGTGTCTGGCCTTTAAGCCACTCCGCGTTGAGTTTTCTACTGACATCGAGTTTGATTCTACGAGATCCGCGGAGGAATCACTAAAACCCACACAACCACCAGACAT